TTTTTTTTTTTTTTTTGTATTTTAAAGCTCTGATAAACTCAGACTTAAAACTGGAAACATATATAAAAGTTCTAGACCTAGCTGAACAGCTATAAAATGGATATTATAGTAAACCTTTGCTGCATGTTACTTTTTCAGATCCTTGCTTAAGATTATCCTTGTCCTAGCTAGGCATGGAGCTACTTTAAATTGAATCTAGGTTGCCTGAGCCAGGACACGCCATCTCACCCCGTGCCGGGCCTTGCCGCGGCCCCGCGGCCCCCCGGCCCGGGCTGGTGGCGGGGGTAAAGCTGAGGTGCGGTTTGGGTCAAAGCCACGGTCAGAGTAGCACTAGAAAGCGGCATTCCCCGCCGTGTGCTGTAAAAACCGGGAGGGAGAGGTCTGTGGAAAACGTGTGTTGTAACCCCGAAGGCGGGCTTTGTCAAAACAGCGCGTTTCTGATTGAGGTTAAAATGAAAGAACACATTAAATTGGCTTGTTGCTGTCCGCGAGCCACGATATGGGTGAAACCGTAGGCTGCTTTGTCTGAGAAGTTACACTGAATTTTTTAGGTTGGGTGTATAACCTAGATCAGTCACAGGTGGTTACAAAAATAATATCTGGAAAGGGCTCTCTAACAAAGTAACGTTATCTGTAAAGTGATTAGGGCTGTATTGTATTGCATATTTGCATAACATTTTGTTCAACATGGTTTAATAAAAAGCTAGTTGTGTCTTTCAGTTCTGCTCGTTAAGGCTTTGTTTTTGTTTCTCTTAACAGTGACGGTGTTCTTAAGCACTTTGACTCCGAAATTCTACTTTGCCCTTACAGTGACTTCGTCTTTTATATCTGGATTGATATTTGTAAGTAGTCCACTTTTATGTTTTTTAAACAACTTTAGCACCTCTAAGCTGCTTTCATTAGGGGTAAACGCCATCGGCTTTTTCTCGGTCAGACTCTAGAGGGTGCCTTTGTACTGGGAAGAAACCTGTTTAGTATTTTCTCTGATGTATTGTACGACTTTTGCCATGCGTGTTGTACATTGGGGTGAGGAAGGAAGATAACTTGTGCCTGTTTTAAGGAGATACGTGTCCATATGAATGTGTACCTGTGTGTGTATACATACATGCATTAAAAAGACAAAATACACATGCAAATGCTGCAGATCTCTCTGAAAAGAAAACGCTGAGATTTTCTAGTGTAAACTATGTAGTTAAGAGTTTTGTTTCTTTCAGTAATTTTTGGGGGGGGTTGTGCACCTGTCCTCACACAACTTTAACAACTTTGGTGTTAAAATGAGCCGGTGATTCAGCTCATCCTCAGAGGACAGTGCACAGTTAGTCTTTATTTTCAGTATTAAAAGCTAAAGCAAATGTCTCTTCTTGTTAATTCACCATATTTACCAGAATGTGCAAAATCTGTATCATAGGTGATATTTGTAGCCACCATTAAAAAAAAAAAGTCTTATTTATGTGGCAAAAACAACTTGTTTGCTATAAGTAATATTGCTTGGGTTTTGATTGAAGGATTTGAGGAAAGTCATTTAAGGAGATGGGTTCTGCTTGTGATAAGCCTTTTGCATGGGTCTGCTTTTGGGAGAAAAAAGTGATTATCCGTCATCCACTATTTACAGTAATGCTGCTTAACAAAGAATACAGTTTGTCTAAACATCCTGCCTTTCTGCTTGCTAATGAAAATACTCAGATAAGTTGGTCCAGGGCTGACTTTGGTAAAGTGCTTGAGGACTTGTGATGCACAGGGATTCTTAATATCTTCAGAGAGAGATGGTAATATTTTTGACTCAGAATTTCTGGTAAGTGGGCTTGATTGCTGTTAATTCAGCCTTTTCTCTCTGGACGTTTTTGAATGGCAGAACACATCACTTTAACTGTCCATTTTGTGCTTTATTCTTTTAGAGTATTTTTGTGAAATGAAAAAACTTCACCTGTCGAGGTTCCTGCCTCTGTGCACAGTTTCCCTTTACAGGCACTTTCTGAGAGGGGTTAGAAGTTATCCTAATGACTTGGGGAGGGAGGAACATACGTTGACTGAAATTTTACTGGTGTTTTTCAGCCTCTCATGTTATGTGGGTGATCCTGCATGACAAGACAGGCCAAAACAGATAATGAGTGTTACTTTATATGTAGATAAGTTCCATCTTACAGTCATTTGCAAGGAGATGTACTCTCTGTGAACAACTGGCTCTTCATCTCTGGAGTTGATGTTGGAAGGGTGTCACCTAAGGACATTTCTTCTGTTTTTTTTCTCTCCTGTGACAGGTGTTTGAGTGGTGGCATTTCCGAAAATACGGCACGTCTTTCATTGAGCAGGTTTCTGTGAGTCATTTAAGGCCTCTCATCGGCGGGGCAGAAAACAGCCCTCCAGCAGCAGCGTCCTTCTCTGCTGGAGAGAGTGAGGCGAGCAGGCAGAACATGCCAGGTAATTGTTGGTGTGTCCCGGCAGTTTTCCTTCAGCTTCAAGGCGGCTGGTTTGCATGAACTGGCTGTTAATTGGCTTTGACTTTTCGTTAGTGCTTGTAAGAACTGGAGAAAGGCCTACGTCTTACAATGCCTTTTGTTAATAATGGGAAAAATAAATAATATTGTATCTTTGATCTAAAATCGTCGTTATTAAAATATGATTTAGAAAACGTATTTAGCTAACAGTGTTGCAGTAACATTAGATATTTACTATTCTGAATATGTGCAGGATGAACATTGCATGAGTGTAAATGGCAGTGTTTAATCTTTGCACCGTGTGCTTTTGTACCCCAGCAATGTTGGGGAGCAAAAATATTTATGGAATAGAAGTTTGTGAAGAAGATTATATGTTTGTGCTCAGGTATATGATGATAAAGCATCTTTTGAAAGTAAAACATCTGCATTTTGAAGTCAAGGGAGTATTTCCTGTGCTTTTCATTCAAAAAATACCTTTTTTTTTTTTTTTCCCCAGAATGCAAAGTGTGGCGAAATCCTCTCAATCTTTTCAGAGGGGCAGAGTATAGCAGGTATTAATTCCTTTACTTTCCATTTGTATTTTTAAAATGAATGGGGGGTGTGCCCATGACTTCATCCCAGAGGTTGCACTAGTAATATCAGGAGGTGGCCAAGACCTGTGATAGGGGAGATTGATGTCAGGCCTGTGTTTAAAAGGCACCTATCCAAGCTTTGGTTCAGTATTAAGAATGCAAATATCACTAACATCATCAGTTTTTTTGAAAGTAGGGGAAAAGCTTTATTCAGAGGTTGAAAGAGTGATTCTGAATTTAGATTCTCTTTTATGAAACTGATATGGCCGTACTGTAAGTCTCCTTGAGTTATTTCATGGGGAAAGCTGCTTTCTAGGAAGCCAGTTCCTGAGTTGTTCCGAACTTTACAGATTATGGAGCAGTAGTACTTGAAACTTCTGGTAAGTAGCTCCAGTCTTTAATAAAAATAGTTGGCGCTAGTTTCAGTGGTCAGGCCCATCAGCCATCCCCCCAGTATCAGTGTTATGTTTACGAGGAGTGCTGCTGACTGAAATTTCTCCTGTTACAGATACATGTGGGTGACCGGGAAGGAGCCTCTTACGTACTATGACATGAATTTGTCTGCTCAGGATCATCAAAACTTTTTCACGTGTGATACAGATGCCCTTCGGCCTTCAGACACAGGTACCAGTGTCCCATGGGTCTGTAACTGCTCCCGAGTGTAAACGTGGCTGGTTTTATACTTCAGGGTAGCCCAAGCTATTGTGTCAAATATTTTGTGAAATGAGAGCCTGCTAAGGAGGTTTAAGAGATGTATTTAGTGAAAAGACTTCTTTTATCTTGTGCTTTCTCTACTAACTTTAAGGCTGTCAGGATCCTGACGCAGTTTAAGATCTCACACTTTTCAAATAATTAACAACACAGTGCTGAAAACCTGGATTGTATTCTCAACAGCCAAAGATATGGTCTCGTTTAAACCTTAGTCATGAATAGTGCAGCCTCCAGAATTTTTTTTCATTGTGTTCCACGTGTTTAGTGCAGAAAATGTTCTCTACCTGGTTACTGTCAGCCTGGGTGTGAACTATTGTCAGTTTGTCACATTCCGGAAGCGTTACTTGTCAGCTGGCTGTGACAGGCTTGATATGAACGATGTGTTTTTGTTTGACAGAATGGAGTGTATTGTCTCGCTTGCTAAGCCAAGACTAATATTTTGTTTCCAAAAGAAAACTCAAACATTTTTCCACGTTATTCTTGCTGGACAGCAGGAGGTTTTGTTCCAAAAGAAACATGTATAGAGTCTTTGGTTTTCTTATCGTACTTGAGATAGGCCAGATATGTAACTCCGTGAAGTAAGGTTTTGGAGTTCTTTCAGAGCTGTTAGTTCGTGTGAAAGCTGTTAGTTCTGCGTAGAAAATGGTAGCCTCGAGTATGTTGTTTTGCTAGAAGCTGGTTTTTAGTGTGGGATTTCTATTTTTCCCTAATGGGAGCGTAGTGGGGAGGGGTTTAGAGTCATTGTATCGAACTTTGTTTGCTCCTTATCTGACCATGATTTTGAATTCCAGTTGTAATTCAAATGACCCTTTTGAATAGATTTCACCCTTTTTAATTGTTTCCTAGAACACTTTCTAAGAGGGTGATAAATTATTATAGTATAATCTTGAATGGCTTTGCTGTGTTTGGCCACTCAGATGTGCCTTGTAAAGTTAAACGGGAATTGTTTAACCCTTTAGGATGTGGTAGTTTTCTAAATACTTAAGTATGAAGCTATACCTGTGCAAGACATCGCTTACTCTATCGCTGTTTTCTTTGAAGTTCTGTTTGAAAGCTTAAATTAAAATTCTGTGCAGGTCTGTGCAAGAACCTGTCTTTAACAACTGCTCTTGCCAAGCTTTCAACAAGTCTTGGGAAATGTTTCCAAAAAATCTGTGGCAATTTAGAAATTCTACATCTGCCTGGTTATGTAAGCTCTCTTTGCTCTCGGTGAGGGTTCTTAAATGGTCAGTGGGTCACCTTCCTGGTGGTGCTTTCCGAGATGAAATCTGGAGTGTAAGGAGAAGTTGTGAGATTCTGCTGCTTGTGGTAGAAACTGCTGGAATTAAACCACTTGTTTCCTCTTCCCTTTAACAATCATCTAGCGAACGGGAATTTGTAAAATGGTGAGGGAATGTTAATGTAGAGCACAAGCAGCAGCGTTGCCTCGGCTGGCTCCTGGGTGTTTCACCAGTGTCTCTGTCCCTCACCAGCCTTTCAATGTTTTTGCAACAGTTATGCAGAAAGCATGGCGGGAGAGAAACCCTCAAGCCCGGATTAAAGCAGCATATCAAGCTTTAGAGTTGAACAATGAGTAAGTTTAGTGTGTAAGTTCAATTGCTGTATTTCTAGTGTAAAAGATTAAGTGGACTGATATTGAACACGCTATCATTTTCTCGTTCTAATAATTTTAGCAAAGTCCTGAATAACTTCAGGGGGACTTCCGTGACATGGGGCTGCCAGTTGCACTGGAGTATTGAATGGTTCTACAAAAATGTAGCTTTTGTTTTCCCTTTTTCTTGGGAGAGATTTTTTTTTTTAAGTCTTTGTGTCAGTAGCACTAAATGAGAACTCGTATTCGGATGTGGAACAGTCTGAATACAAGATTGTATGTGTTTCAGAGATGGCGTTGTGGTGACACTGTATTTGGAGTCCACAGATGCCACTCCTGTAAAGGATTTAAGAATATAACACAAACTGAAGAATTTCACACACACCTGTGATTTGTTTTGTAATGTAGTCTCATTTTTTTTGTGTGTAAAATGTCTACCTGCTGGTTTTAATATAGGAAAGCAAACCAAACACAAAAACCCTCTCCAGACAATTACCAGAGCATTTTTAATATTTCAAGGAAAATAATTTGACTTACTGTTACAATTATTCTTTTTGTTGATCTTTTTCCAACTGTGTGTGTTTTCTGTAAAATGGAAATGGTTTCTGTTTTCCTGGCATTCACCATTTGAACTCAAGTCAGTTTTTTGGTACTTTAATATTGTCCACACTTAGATATTAAACGAAATTGAAAGCCGCCCATTTTTAATGATTTTAACCCTTATCTAGAAAATACTAAACTCCATCTCCCAGAATAATTAGTGGTTTTTTTCCTTATTACAGTTGTGCCACTGCGTACGTCCTTCTGGCTGAGGAAGAAGCAACAACTATTGTGGATGCTGAGAAGTATTTCAAGCAGGCTCTGAAAGCAGGAGAAATGATTTACAGGAAGTCGCAGAACTGCCATTCCCAAAGCCCCCAGCACGAAGCGCAGCTCAGTAAGGGCTTCTGAGTCGCCTAAATTCTTGGGTTTGTGAGGGCAGAAGTGTAAAACTGGAGTTAAAATTAGTGATTCTAGTTTGGCTCCGAGTTCGGAGAGGCGGTTCCTGCTGTTCCGGCCACGTATCCAGCGACGGGATCTGCTGCGGTGCCTGGAGGGGTCGTGGGAAGCGGCCGGTGCGCTGGGTGTTCCTGGTGGCCTTGGGAAGTGGGATGGGGAGAGCAGGGTGACGGAGCAGTTAGCCTGTGTCAGCAGCACCTCCTTTTATTTCACACAAAGTTTTGTTAAACAGAATTTTTTTTTTTTCATTTAACCTAGTTAAAACTTGCTGGCGTTGGTCTAGATGGGCCTGGGCTGGGACAGCATTAGGAATTATTTTATGCTTTTACATCTGGCTAGAAAAAGTTGTGGGGATGTTGGTGTTTGGGGTTTTTTTGGGGAGAGGGAAGGAGAGGTGAGGATTGAAGCTGTATTTGTTTTTTTGTCTTTGTAATCAGGAAGAGACACCAATGTGTTGGTATATGTGAAAAGGAGGCTGGCTATGTGTGCCAGGAAACTTGGAAGAATACGAGAAGCAGTAAAAATGATGAGAGATGTAAGTAAAAATAAAAAAAGTGGTGAGCAGTGTTGTTTTCAATCACATTGTCCAAATTAATGGTTTAAAGTTCCTCTCTAGGCATCATAATTAATCTAGTTGAGATATTTTCTGATGAGATTTGTGCATCATGATTCGTGATTTATTTTGTCAGCAGTTTTTTCAGTTCCTTCGTGTAGGTTTTAATTTTTTGTATAGTACGATGTCATACGTTAACAGTTCTGTTGTCCAGTTTGCTTCATGCTTGACTTGGTGACTAACTTGTCAAAGTAGCCAACTTTAGATTTCACTAACATTTTTCTTTCACTTGCCCAAGTTGTATTCTGAGTTCTTTTTTCATAGGAAAGTATTACTGCCCAGGCCAGCTCACCGTGGGAGCTGTGCAGATCTGGCCTGGGAGTGTGTTGTATGAACCTCGACATACTTATTTTCCATTAGGTCAGTACAGGGAAGACGGAAGGTAGAAATGATGGGGTTCTTTTCATGCTGCTTATGTGCCAGTTTCTGACAGTGTGAAAGACCAGAACTTTGAAAAAGCTTAAATATCGTCCTGATTTCTATTAAGTGTTTCAGGCATTCAAGTGCAATTCTGTCCGTGCTTAATTTATTTCTCTTTATTGATTTGCAGTTGATGAAAGAGTTTCCACTTCTCAGCATGCTGAATATTCATGAAAACCTCCTGGAGGCACTGCTGGAGTTACAGGCTTACGCAGATGTCCAGGCAGTTCTAGCAAAGTATGACGGTGAGTGGTGCCTTTGGGAAGTGCGGGTGTTCTGGTGTTGGAGCGCGGGTGAGGTGGGCACGGTGTGCCTGGCCAAGAGCAGGTGTCTGCCCGGCACCTCAGCTGCTTGGCTAGGTTCCCTTCATTGGCAACAAACAGGCGCTTCCAGAGTGCAAGTCAGGTTTTTTCTTCTGAATAATGAGGTCAAATTTAGGCAAGCTAAACTGCATACAAATTACTTCTCACATTTTTAAATTCCTTCTAATCTGTAAAGAAATCTTGGAGCTCACTGTGCTTCAATTTAAGGATTATTTTAATTTTTTAATCCCTTCTACATCCCTGGTTATGCCTAAATTCATCAGCCTTTTTTTTCAGTCAGCCTGTAGCCCCCTAAGTAATTGATGTAAATAAGGTGGAAAATGTAGTTTTCCTTTCTGTCATCTTCCAGGCTTGGCCTCGTGATTCTGTAACACGGAGGTTGCTCGCCAGAGATTAGCAACGTGCAAGCATGCTGCTTGCCAGAGATTAGTGGTGTGCAAGCTTTGGGCCGTTAAATGGCAGTAGTTTGCTTTCACATCCCGTCTCAACTCACGTGTTTCAGGTGGTGTGCAAGTCTAGATAAAGGCTAATGAAATATATACCTTCTTATTGTCCTCAGAGTTTTGCCACCTAGATAATGCCCACATCATTAGCGTACAAAGCGCCGCTGTCAAAGCTGTCCCTTCCATCACCTCCAGAATGGAGGGACATAGAAGCAGTATTTTGTGGCGGTCGCTCCCTGCCCTTGAGAAGTCGGGACGTTCTCTCCCGTGTCTCTGTTCTTTATTGCTTCAGGGAATCAAAAGGACGATATTCCTGCCCAAATCCTGTGCCCCCTGTGCGTGGCCACCCTAGCAGCCTGCTCTTGTTACGTGGCCATCCATGTTGTTCTGTGTGGATTCTTACTGATTTAACAAAGCCATTTGCTCTTTTCCTGGTGCTTCTTTATATTAACGTCGGGAATTTTGACACTTTCTTAAGAAAGCGTTGCTGATTTTTTTCCGAAGCATCTGGAAAAATGAGTATGAGCTTCAGACTCTCCGTAGCGCCCCTGTGTTTTGCTTGACACGACAGCCAGACTTCTAGTAAGTGATGGACAAGCCCAGGATGGGATTTACAAAAAAAGCAAGAGCCATCTGACTATACACAACATGGTACTTGGGAATTAGACCCCAGACTTTGTCTGCTTTTAAAGTAAACTTTAGTGTGAAGTGCTAACTTTCTAATCTGTAATTGTCAGCTCAGATTTGGCCTCAGATGTTCTACAAAACCTACAACTAAAAGCATTTTTCCCCATGGAACTGGAAAAGAATGGAATTTGTATTTTTGTTAAAATTTGTCTACCTGTCTGTAATGCAGTTTTTTTTGGTCAGCTTGTAGCTGGTCTCTCAGTATTCTGTAAAACTCTGTTAATGTAAATTTGCAAAATTAGGGAAAATTAGAAGCTTATTTTAAACCTTCATGGGTTAATACAGGAAAAGTATGCTGTTCTTAAGTGTGTATTTATACATGCATTTCTCTCTGAATTAAGTTTCAGTGTCTTGGTGTGTTTAGAAGAAAAAAAATTACTCTTTACCAGCTAACTACAACTCAGATTTTTTAATCTGAGACTGACTGGTGTCCAGGAAGAAGACTGTGCAAAGAATTTAAAAAGTTTCTAATCATCGCTGAAATGTTCCAGATGTTACACTCACTGTCTGGTATACCCAACTCCAAAATCTTTAAGCTCAAAGGATGTGGGTTTAAAGTGTTTGTCTTATAATCTTACAGCTTAATTATTTTATTTTATCATAGATATCAGTCTTCCAAAATCAGCAGCAATATGTTACACAGCAGCCCTGTTAAAAGCCAGAGCTGTTTCAGAAAGGTAAGCAAGCACATTTGTGAAAACAGTGGTTTGTTGCTAATCTTGAGTTATGCTGTAAAATAGGAATTAAAAAGGTCTAAGTCCAACATGTAGCAGTTACATTTCTAAGAGCAAGTTAAGTGTATTTATACATACATATATATGTGTATATCGTTAAATGTAATTTGCAGTTTTTTAAGCGTCCACGAAGCTAACACAGTTTAAGGTATTTCCCAAGAGCCCGTGTACACACATGTGCTTTTGTATAAATTCCGTTTTCAGCGTCTTGCTGGTGGTGTTCAGGCGTTCTTTGTGGGGTGGATCGGGTGCAGGGTATTTGTGGTAGCTCACGTTGGCATTTCACTCCCTGGTCTCTTTGCCCTCTGGCTGGGGGATGCTGGAACAGCCACACGAAGGACTCGATCGCCTGTGATTGACGTGGAGTTTCGGAAAGCTCAACACAACTTCGTCGTATGGGCATGGATCACAGTCAGGATACCTGAATTAAAGTGAACATTTGTCTCCTAGAAGGCTTTGTTTATCTTTCTTGACAAATCAGCCAGTTTTTAATGAACTGCAAGCTTACAGTGCAAATAAACACCTGGTTAGCATTTATTACTTTTGGTCAATGTGGGCTTTTCCCTTCAGGTTCTCCCCAGAAACTGCCTCCAAAAGAGGGCTTAGTACAGCAGAAATTAATGCTGTGGAAGCGATTCACAGAGCTGTGGAATTTAACCCTCATGTTCCAAAGGTAAGAGTATTTTATTTCCTATTGGACCACTGTTTATGTCTTCTGAAAAAAGTCATGTTATCAACTTGTTACTGGAGCCTTTCTAGCCCAATGTTTTCTTGAAGCTAGTTGTATCTCCAGCCGTTGAGTTATTAAACACACTAGTATTTATATCATAAATGTTTGGTGGCCAGAATTAGTTGTTTGCAGTAGGTGATGATAAAACAGGTTTTTTTTGCAAAAAAATTTAAACTCAGAATTTTCAAACTCGATGGAAAGTCCAGCAGTGTATTACTGAAGGCCCTTTACTGGGTAAGGGCAGGCGTTAATAAATACAAATTTAGATATTTAAAATCCCTGAAGCCAAATTAAGTTCTCCAAACAATAACCACTCGTAGTATCTCAATGTACATTTTTTTTCTGCTGTGCTTCCAAGCACGGCTCCAGGACTTGGGTTATTGAAAGATCCACAGTCGCTTATTTTCTTCATCCACGTGTGAGATAAAGAGTCGGTGTTGCTGTAGGCTGGAATTTAGTGTCTGGCTCTGCTTGCCGTGGCCAGGATACGGATTCCACTGAGCGCTGGGTGAAAATAAAATCTTACATTGCTTTTTACTGTACTAGTATGGGCGATGCGTTCAGTTTGAAACCTCGCATGCAGAAGGTTGGCTTAGTCCTGGACCTAATCCTCTGCAAATGATCATGGAGTCCCAGTGACTGTTGCTGTGAAGGCTCGAATTATCCCGCCGCCCTCCTCTGTCTGCCTGTCCAATCTAATAGAATGTGCACTGAGAGAGCTAATTGCTGCTTGTGTGCATGACTGATCAAGAGCGTAGCAAGTTCATTTCAGACAGTCTCAGACAGATTTTTTCTTTAGCCACTGCCTTCAGGGGAAGAAGATTATAATGCATTATCATTATCTAAAAGTTCTTTTATTTTGTGTATCCTCCAGTTTCGGGAGCCTTCCGCACCTTTTTTAAGAAGTTAGATATCATTTCAAACAGGCTGTTTGCAAAACATGCTCCGTAGTTCTACAGACAATCACCGACACTGATTCCAGCTTGCAGTAATTTGACCTTCTCTTCTCATTGTATACCTATCCAGTTGTCTTCATGATTTTTTTAAAATTACAGTATTGCCTTGAAACACCAATTTATTAGACGACAGGGCAGAACTTTCTTGGTGCTGTCTAGAGCTCCGAGATGCTCATAGTCACAGCAAACAAGTGAACGAGGGCACAAACAAGTAACTTGCCCAATGGGTCACAGTGGTGGAGAAGAAAATCTAGTTTTTGAATTTGCAGTCTGTTCTGTCCCACGGACTAAAAATAAATGAGAATGTAAAGTAGAAATCCCTTTGTTCTTGCATCTCGTGAAAGTGGTTGTCTTTGCACATAACATCGTTTTGCATAAGGAAAATAAAATAGTGTTCGTTTCTCTTTGGAGTTATGCTTTTACAAGGATGGGTTTTGTTTGAAAAGTTAGGAAGGCTTTTTACACTGCGAGAGAAATGGTACTCTTAAGCCATTTCACATTCGAGATCTGTAACTACATTTTGATAATGTATCAAACAACCTTTTCCAGTCATCTTCTGGTGTTTTACAGATTTTTTTTGTGTGTATAAAGACTTACATAAATCTGCAAAACCCAAGCTACTTTCAGTACTGATACCTTGCCTGTTTTACGGTTAAACACAGACATGACAACCTGCCAGACTGTGGAATTTTTCCATTTCTGTGGTGACGCAGGCAGAGCGAGCCAAAGCCTGGAGTTCAGCCTTGGCACGTTGTGGCAGTGCTGGCAGCGGGGCTGCCTCACCACTCTCACGTTTATATTCCCCTCCTCTCCGCACAGTTAGTACAATGGGAAGGGGCACTGCGGAGAGCATGAGGAGCCAGGGCAAGGGTCAGATATTTGAGACCATTTTCCCACAGCAGCCCTGTGTGAGTGATCCTTTACTGTGTTAAAAAAAAAAAAAATTTAAAAAAAAAATTTGAAGAGGATTAGAGGGGATTAGCAAGAATATTACCCTCCGGAGTGTAGGCCCAAGGCACTAAGAGAAGAACCTAGCCAGGCAGTAAATGTGCTTTATTTGGCCAGGGCACAACCCCTCCTACATTCCTTCAAGAATCTGAATGGGAAAAGTTAAGTCCTCAAACTGGATTAGTAAATAATCTCATAGTTTGTGGCATCTGCTGAAATAAATCGGCGAGTTAGCTGCATTCTTACACTTTGGGAGACAGTCAAAGGAATTGCCAGCTACACTGATCAAAGATGTGGATTAACTTGGGCTCTTATTGAATGAGACACTCTATGCTAGGAGAGAATAACTCACAGGTGAATACTAGAGCTGAAACTGTCATCTCATTCTTGTAAAAATTACTGATCTGTTTTTAAAAGCTAAATTAAAGTGAATACCTGTCTTTTTTTAATGTACCAAAACAAAACTGCGTGTCCTGTGTTTCAAGGGAAATGGAAAATGATCAGCCCTTGTGTTCTTTGACCCTTGTGTGCATCAGAAATTCTGCTGATGTAGGGAGGAGGCCAAAATTGAAAAAATCTGAAATCGGAGATACTTTGTGGTAGTCCAGCAAAACCACATTAAACCAAGATTTTCCTGGGTTTGGTTTATTGTTCTTCCTTTGGTTAGCAAACTGTCACTTTCTGGTTTGCTACTCACGAGCTGGCAAGTACTGAGCCTCCTACACTGAGACTTTCAGTGATGAAACGCTGAGCAAAAATACCGCTGGTTTGGTGGGTTTTTATTAACCTGAACTGGTAGCTCATTGGTGTTGTGCCTGCCGCATTATACTTTATGTACATTCCACAAGAACATATTTTTATTTTGGCTTACTGAAGATGATGTTTTTTGGGTTTTTTTTTGTGATATGTTGTGTGTGAAAACCCCAGTTTGAGTCTTGCACAGGGCTGAGTGTTTTGCTGCTCTTCCCTTCCCGTGGCTGCCTGCACTGTGTCAGCACTGGGCTGTTTCTCCAGCGGGCAGGAGCTGGCCCCTGCGGGATGTGCTCAGTTGTGCCTCGGATGATCGTTTACATCTCACAGTTAAAGATTTTGGAGTATTCCATGTAACCAAGCGTCCTTTACCACTTTTACTTTCAGTATTTACTAGAAATGAAGAGCTTAGTGCTACCTCCAGAGCACATTCTGAAACGAGGGGACAGTGAGGCGGTAGCATACGCTTTTTTCCACCTCCAGCACTGGAAGAGGATAGAAGGGGCTCTAAATCTGCTGCACTGCACATGGGAGGGCAGTGAGTATTTCTCCTTGTTTTAGTTTTTTCTGTAGAGCAGACTAATCTCTCTGCTTTATTCACCTCAGACACGATTGGTTCTCTTTGTGAGAAGCCGGTCACTTGGTGATACAGATCTGATGTCACCCTCTCTCTTTTCAGCATTTAGGATGATCCCGTACCCATTAGAGAAAGGTCATCTTTTCTATCCCTATCCGAGTTGTACAGAAACAGCAGACAGAGAACTGCTGCCAAGTAAGTGGTTTCTAAGCAGTAATGATAATAAAACACAAGCTAAGGACACGTTCAGCTTGTGGTATTCTGTATTTACCTTACTGCGATTTTTTTTTTTAGTTTGAGCTTCCTGTGAAGGGGCTTCAGCTATTTGTTGATGTCCTTCCCAAGCCATCCTGGAGCACTTGGCGTGTGTGTGTGGTAAATGTTAGCTTGACTCTCTAATAACAGAAGTCCTTCAGAGGTGAAGTCTGTGTGTGGTACATTCAGATTAGATTTGGCCAACTCCGAGAACAACAAAATGGGCCAGTTCTTTAAATGACTCTTAAGGGGATTCATGGCTTTGACCGCAGGGAACGGAGGCGAGGTTCCAGTCCTGCCTTGGGGTGTCTGATCTTGCAGAGAATCCTCAGTTAATCTGTAGCTCCACGGAGCACCTATTGCTTTCTGTCCTCGACTCGTTGGTCTGTGTTTGTCAGCTGGGCAGTGTGCTTCCAGGGGCACCTTACCTGTTCGGTATTTCTGTGGATTTATACTGACGCTTGACCCTGAAAAGTCAGTCTCCAGCTGCCCATTACTGCAAGATTATTTCATGCAACTGTGAGCCTACATGGGATTTTTTCTTTAGGTAAGGCAAACAAACTAAATCACTAAGGCCCATGCTCATCATATTTGGGAAAATAGCATCAATTTAGATTAGAATTAGACTGTTAATTGTACCTGTTAATGGGATTCCTTTGGGGGTGAACTTCTACATCGTAAAGAAACGCAAGTCCCAGGGGACTGGAAAGGGCTACTGCAAAAGCACCAGCAGACCCACTGAGACCACAGCTGTGGAAAGGAAAACTACACATACGTGTTTCTATTTAAAAGCCTGAAGTTATATTTAAAATGTGTAATTTAAATTTGCCCCCAGACTGCTTTAAATTACTCATTTCTCACTTATGCAGGATATTGCACAAGGAATTCCTTGGTTAGCGACTAACCCTAAATTGTAGACTTCCCAGCATAATTAAACACCAACACATGCAGATATTTCAACACGATCACTCACGCGTTCCTGTTATGTTTTAAATATAAAACTACCCATAAATTAAACAATCTTAACACTTTTATTGCGGTACTTCCTTGAGAAATCTTGACACTTCTTTTAAATTTACCTATTTAGAATAATGTTGGCCAAATCAGTGCTTCAAAAATCCTGTATTGGTCTGACTGGTAACAATTCTCAAATGGCCACGTACATATAGAATTATCTTTACTTGTCCTTATCTATTTCAGAGTTGATTTTAATTTCCCAGTGTAGGAAAAACTAGTGAAAAAAAAGAGTCCTTCCTATTTTATTTTTTTTTTTAACACTTTCCTACCTTATGTTGGATATTGCTCCATGTTTTAAAAATTGGGCAAGCTCCCACCCGGTGGGAGTGTCCCGCTGTTCTGCGGTGGGGGAAGGGACCGTGGTGCTGTCACGCTGCCTCGTGGCCCGGCGGGGCTGGTTGTGTGTGCGGAAGGTGTGAACTGATAATCTCTGGGATAACACTGAACGTTTCTGGTGGGCGTTAGACGTGGAACTCCGAGCGTTCTACTTAGTTGTGCTCCAAAATCAGACACTTAAAAGCAAACCAAAAGCCAAGCATTTTGCCATTAATGCTTTGCAAGAGCATGAGCTGCTGCTGCTGGACTGCTCGTACAACGGCAGCTTTCATGTGCCAGCACTCGGAAACAGTAACTGGGAGGGTGAAGTGTCTTTTTCCTCCTCAGACTTCAGTTTAAAAATTAATACAACTGTATTTTCTTGTTTTACGGAAAGGCTTACTTAAATTTTGAGGCTTTTGTTAGATTTTTAAAAACAGCTTGTCGAGAAGTGTGCAGCCCTTTTCGTAATTCCTGATGTCTATAGAAACTATTTTTTTTCTTCATTTAAAACCCCTTTAAAATCATTGGACAAAAGTCAGGGCCGCAGGTATTCAGAGCCAGTAAGTAATTGCAAATTCCCCAAACAGGTCCTGGGCTAGTAACCAGTAGTAGTGTCTTGAGTGCTGAAAGCTCCATATGCCAGCCCTTAGCCTGCCTAATCAGCTTCTTTTGATTTTGTTACCATAGATTGGAAATTGCAAGGAGCTGCTATGTGCAGAATTTATAACCTAGTCCTGGTGCTGTTTTCTTTGAGGTCTACTCTGTCAGCTGCTCTGAAAAAATTTACTGTAGCCTACCAACCAGAAATCTTTGAAAAGTATTAAGGAGGTACTTTGCATGTATATATAATGTGAGGATTGTTTTGTACTTGCTGAGCTGCTTATAGGACGGGGAGATGTGCTGTTCTCTTTGGGTAGCAGGATTGATGCTTCAGAGGGTTGAAAACACCAGAATTGTTTAAATTGGTCTCGGTAATTTTGACAGCTTGTGAATTTTACGGTTCATCCCTCTGTCCTGTTAAAAGAGTAGGTACCAAAACCTAAACCTGATTAAATGCTTCAAAAATAAAGCCCATGCAAGTGAAAAAGAAGGCTGGGAAGAGAAAGATGTAAAGACTATTAACAATGAACACAAGCATTTAATGTAGGGGGAAAATTTTTGAGAAGTTTTAAGTTCTGGGACCTAACATGTGCTGCACAATAGTCTTGAGTCCACACTTACTCCTTCTGAAAGTGTAGAACTGAGTTATTTACAGAGTCTTGTAATTCCTAAAACTGTCCTTGATTACCAAATGTCAATATTATTTTTTTTTTTTTTCCTTTCAGCATTTCACGAAGTCTCCGTTTACCCGCAGAAGGAACTTCCCTTTTTCATCCATTTCACAGCAGGCCTCTGCTCCTTTTCAGCAATGCTCGCCCTCCTTACGCACCAGTTCCCTGAGCTGATGGTCGTTTTTGCTAAAGCTGTGAGTATCGTCTCTGTCACGGGACTTCCTGAGGTAACTTGGGGGACCTTGGGGAGTTTTGGGGTCCATGGTGAAGTAGGCTCTAGTCAGTCTTATGCTTCTGGGCCATGAATTATTTGATCTCCCTTTGTAAGAATCTTAATTAGTGGCGCATACTTGTTGAAATTTAGGCAAAGTGTCTTATTTTGACAAGGTGAGCTGTTACTATAACATACCTTGGTTTTAATTTGCACTCTAATGGTGAGAGAGCAGCATTTCAGCACCAGAGAAATTTTGCCACGGGACACTGGTGAGTATGGATTTTGTTCTCGTAGAAGTGAAAGGCTGCAGTGCGAGAACCTCAAAAAATAAATTTGTTGGCTGGAGATTTTGAGAAGTGAGCAAAAGACAGGCTGGGCTGCAGGAAAACAGATCTCTTGCTCAGCATTGGAAACTAGTAGCACGATGTGTCTGGAACGGATGAGAGCAGGGGTAAGGTAACTGCTACCTTAGTTACCTAGTTGTCACCTACCTTTTGGGAACTAGGCTGGTGGTTTTGTATCTCATCTGGTTACAGCTACTGGATGGAGAATGTGTTCGGTGACCTCGGTTCTGTCATTTGAGCACCCGTTCAGGGATGGAAATTGGTCTTGACAATGGCGACACGTTTCTGATCTCTGCTGCCTTAGATATATCTAAATGTGCCTGCTGTTACTTGTTCCTGTGGGTGCCTTCTGCGCCCGTCTCCTTCCTCCCTCTCTCTGCCCTGCTCTCTTCAGGGTTTCTTTTCCTTGCTGTTTCCTTTTCTGTTAACATTGCTGCTGGCTGCAGCTCGTCCGAAAGCTGTGCTGCCTCACTTCGGCAGGGCGAGAGACTGCCCAGGCAGCTTCCCCTCGCCACTTCCAGCCTGAGCCACGCAGTATGTTTGGCCTTTGTTGAACCGTGGATCTCGTGCAGAAGAGCAGAGTGGCCAATAAAGAGCCCTGAACTCTCAATGAAATCATTTATTCTAGCTTTGCTAGTCAAAATAGAGGGTGAAAGGCGTTAGGCTTCCTCGCTGTTGTCAGGCAGCAGGTAATGGAGGCCCAGGAGGTAAGCCCTTTTTCTTAAGGATACATTTTTCCTAAAAGCATTGGCTTTGCTAACATTTCTAGTCCACAGTGTCCAAGTCATGCAGGTCTGAGAGTGGGGCCTCATTTCCACACAGTTCTGTTGATCTTTTTGTTGGAAAATGTAGTTGGACATGCCAGTGACAAATTTCAGTGCTGCTCATAATTGGCTGGGTTCATAGTAACTAGGGTCTAACTATCTGCTTGATTAATTCTGTAAGGACTGCATTAGCAAAGTTGTATGATTTCCAAAGAGATACAAGGTCAAATGTTATGCTAACAAAGAATTGCTTGGTGAAGTTCTCTCTGCTGGGTTTCTTGAACCAAAAAAAGACTCTGCAAGTCACTTGGCTTTGCGCACTGGCATTTTGAATGTCAAGTGACGTGTCCAAATGTGGGGAAAAAAAAAACTCCCGGGGTCTGGTCGTTTGGCAGTGGGTTTATTTCATTTATTTTCTACAGAAATGGATAGATAGTGTCTGTTCAGCTGAAAAGATGATCAAGAAGCCGTGTGTTGCTGTGTCATTCCACCAACCGAGTCACAGCGGGGGCAGGCACAGGCAAAGGGGTTCTTGCCCCTTAGTGTGCTAGTTTAACACTGGAATAAAGAGCCCGGTAATGAATTCTGTGTGAACTCCTGAGGCTGGCAGCTGAGAAGGGAATGCCATCTTCCAGTATTCTGCTGGGTTAGACAGTTAATGTCAAGTCCCAGTCGTACACTAATGACTAATATTCTTCCTTATTTTAATTATTATTGTACTCTTGATCCCATTCCTGATGTTTTCAGAAGCATTCAGAAAACTTGTAAGAAGCAATGATATTCGTTATCAAATTAACACTTCCAATTTTATTCATAGATCGCTTCAGTATTCCAACTTCAGATAATGCCGTGACTGCTGCTTACCCTTTATAAAGCATTATCTCTGTGTTCTGGTTGGATTTTCATACTGAAAATGGAAGTTCACCTTCTCTTTAATGACACCTGTCTGCACCCAAGAATTCTGTAATGAAACAATTATTATTTGCTGTATCTAGTGTTATATCTGCAGGCAATTCCAGTGCTTTAAGCTTTCAAAATGAATTTTTTTTTTCTTGTGTGTTTCATAATCTCAAGTATTTTTTCGCGATACCATGTTTTAACTTACTAAATACAGTAATTGGAGATAACGGAGTTCTAGATGGTAGATACCTGGAGTGCCTTAGTGAAAAAATGATACAAAATGTAATTCCAACAAGTTGTTCAATTTCCAACAACTCTAGAACGCAGTTTTAGGAGTGATGATTGGGAAGGACCATGTATATGGAATTCTTCACTACAGGTCTCAGAGCAACTCAGATCTGAACTGCTTAGGTTACATGTCAGTTAGTTCTTGATCAAACTGTTGTTCCCAGCAGTTGAATCCCCAGCGACCTGCATGCCTCTGGAGGGTTTTGAGAAGTTGAATACCTTTCTATTGACTTGAAAAGTCTGAGTTTACATATTTTCATTTGTTAGTGCTTGAGTTTGTTTCCTCCATAATAAATCACAGGGTAAACCTTGGCAAATTGCTAAAACTATTCCAAGTGGCCAAAAATCACAACGGAGCGTTTGCTGGTTCCAATGTACACAGCTAATCCCCCGTCAGCAGGGCCCGGGGCGCTGGCCCCGGCTGCGGGGGGACGGGGGCGGCCCTGCCTCCGGGCCAGGCGCCGGGGGCTTCCGCTGCCCTGCCCAGGGCCAGGCCTTGGGGGCTAGGACTGGGCCTGGCCGAAGAGCCGAGATTTACAGAGCCACTTAGAGCCATCTGTGGCTCGCTAGGACGTTTAATGTCCCTTGAGGAAGGGGAGGTGTGCTGGGACAGGAGCGGGAGAGCCCCGCGTGACCCGCGGCGCCAGCGCTCTTAGCGGGTCGGAGCTCAGCCTCGCTCCTTGTTTCAGCTAGACTTCTCATCTCCTGGAGAATCGCTCTGCTCTTGATCCTCAGAGACAGCTCTGTTGTCTCAAGTAGTTGCTGTTGAGAATTTTCTCGGTAAGTGACAGAAGGGAGGAGGTAGGCGAAAGGGCTGGCAGCAATCTCTGCAGTTCACTGAGCAAGCCGAAAAATACTCTGTTACATAAAACAACTTCTGAAACTGCAGACAAAAGGGTCTGAATATTTTTCCATTCAGTATGAATTCTTATTTTTTAATAATTACCTAGGTGGAGAACTGGGTAGCTATGTATCATCATGCGAAAGTGATGTTGCACAATTCCTCCTGTAATATCTTAAAAGACAGCGAGAAGTCTGCCCACAAGAGCGCTAGAGATGCAGAGTGACAGCTGGCACTGTGCTCAGCAGTTCCTGGAAACAATCACCATGCCCACCTTGCAAGGAAATCAGTCCCATTTTTTCAAGTCTGAATTTTAGGCTGCTAGAATAGACCAATATTAGTTAATATTAAGTACTGAAAAAATATTGCAGCAGTGTTCCTGCTGAATCCTACTGAAAATGACTTCCTTGTTCACGGAGTTGGACAGAATCCTGAGACAGTCCCTGTTCCAAAGTGTTTTGATATTGATCGCTCGATATTTTTCACAACAGAGAAAAAAAGTTGTGGGACTCAGATTAAAAATTGGCTACTTTTTGCTTGCAAGTTTGGGAGAAAACATTGCTCGTTGTGGTTGTTCCGCCGCTCCCCGTTGGAGGATTCCTTGCTGTTTTGCTGATAGCAGCCATCTAGAGACAGAAACTAGGCCTAAACAGAGCCCCGTCTGGCAAGCCCTGCTTTCTGTGACACGCTGCTTTACTTTCTGAACAAATCCCCCTACCACTTTCCCCAAAGCTCATTAAGTGAGGCTGGAGAATTAACTTTTTAGCCAGCTGCTGAACTTTTCATATTTATAAACACTTGAGTCTTTTGCTTATCTAAGAGAAAATGTGTATAGTTTGGAGATGTGCACTTCTCTGCCAATGTGTAATGAGTAGTTCTACACTTGGTAGAAAAAAAAAGCCTGAAGTTTCCTGTCACAGCTGAGTGTCGATGCCAAGGGCAAAGGTTTCTTGCCTTGCTAATCTACATCTTAACTCATGCACTTAATGTGGAGGTGCCACACGCAGGCAGGCAGGGGAGAAGCTGCCTGCGGCGGAGAGCCCCTGCGCTGCTGTGAATGTTGTGTTTTAAAAGCCCTTTTAATGTAATATTGGAGGTTATGATAGAAGCCAGGAGGGCCAAAGTGAAACCCTCTCCTTTCGCTCCTGAGCAGAGGCTTTCCACGGGGATAACGGAGTCCCAGCGCGGTCGCTGGGGGTGGCTTGGGGAGGCGCAGGGCAGCTGCACCATCCGTTTTAGCCCCATCTTTGGGAACTGTTTAGATGGCACCTAGAACGTGGGTCCTGTCCGGAGGCACGGGCCGGCCTTGGTGGATGGTCTGTTTGGTTTTTGGACGTTGATGAGCTATAAACAATCCTGGCCTGCCGAGGCGCGGCCCCCCTCCCCGCGTGCCGCCGTCCTGACCCCCCCTCTGCCTTAGGTGCTGCGGGTGCTGTGGCCTGTGAGTGCTCCCAGTGTCCTGGCCTCCAGCTGAGCCAACCCTGCCGGCGGTGAGTGGACAAGGCTGGGGCTGGGGCTTCGGAGGGATTTTTCCTCTTTTGTGTGTCTTGCCTAATACTGAACGTTTGCCACAAGCCTGTGTCGCGGCATCAGCGCCACGGGGGCGGTAGCTCTGCTGCCTTGAGGCGGGAGGATACAGGGATTTTGTCCGTGCCTTGAGCCTGTAAAAGGCTGTTGGGTTTGAAACTGAGCTAATTTTTTGTTGCTGTGTTCTGTTTCTTCTAGTGCTCTGGGACTCTTCCTTCACCCTTCAGCTTTATGACGGAAAACACTGAGGTGCCCTGTCCGGTGCCGGGCCTCGGCCGGCCCCGCTCCGACCGGGGCGTGCTGGCGGGATGGTTCCGTTCCCTTGTTCTCCCGAGCCTTACCTCTCTGGTTCGCTGACCCCCGGGCGTGGGGGGCAAGGAAGAGGGCTGAGCTATCCAAACTGGTATCTTTGACAGGCTTCCACGTTGGTAACGGTGCTTAACTATGAATTTCTACTTTGGCCTTGGTCAGTAGTCATCTAGGAAAATAGTTTTTGTTGAGCAATACCTTACTGCTCCCTTAATCACTTGTACAACTGGAAGCTAATACTTCCTCTGTAAGAAAGGAGAGGACTGGGCAGATGTTTGGAGTATTGACACTTCCTTCTCAGCTGCAGATGCGCCGGATAATTGGCTTAGATTTAATTTTATAAGTCTTTTTCAAAATATTTGTTAACCGCAAAGTATGGTTCTGCTTTCTTTATTAAAAAGTTGCTTCTTAACACATCGAATTTGTTGACTTCTTAAGTGTCTGTTTAATATAGATTACAATGTGCAAAGATTTGTTTCTTCTGTATCCTACAAGCTTGCACTGCTCAAGGAAATGGTAGTATAAACTCTGTTCTGTATTGCTGCTACTTTAGATGTAATTGTGCATCTTTTTGTCTTTCAAACCACTTTGCCTTGAGGAACGGCGTGGTTTCTGAAGCTGCAGAAGCCGTTGTGATGGGAGGTTTTTGGGAGACCTGCACTTTCACGTGTTGGTCCGAAGTACCGCTGTTGTGGACGCCGGGACGTGAAGAGACCTGAGGTGCGGAGCCATCTCCGAGGGAATCGCTGCCTGTGCAGCCCGGCCCCAGGCTCGGTTTGCTGCAGGGCTGTGGCAGCCCGGGGGGTTGAGGCGGTCGCTGCCACCTCCATTCCTGCTCCCCAGGGGAGCAAACGGCCGTGTTTCCACCTTCAGCTCTGCTGTTCAGCACCGGGGAAGCAGAGTCCTGTGAGCCAAGGTGGCTGCAAAGTGGAAGTGATAAAAATAGCCCAGGCTTGTGAATGAATGCTAATTCTGAGACATGACAAGTTGCCCATCATCTTAGGTTTTACAGATAAACACATATACCTACCTGTAATAACTAGGGGGATTTTATGTGTTTAATCTTCACTGATCTTTGTGAAGGATTGATGTAAGCTGTGACTTTGACGCCTTCTTTTAAAGGTGGTGTAAATTATTCTGGTTTCTGAATCCTGGCTGGAAGAAGCTTGCAGCCGCCTCTGTTCCCTGAAATAATACCTAAATCAATCAATTACAGGTTAATTGGTGTTGACCTATAATCTATCTTGATGCAGAAGACAGAATGATTTTTTTTTTTTCTTGTTCTTTCCCAAATCCCTCTTTACCTTGTAAACAGAGTACTGCGAAGTGGGCAGCTGCCTGTGCATCTCGTGTAAGTGCAGCTTATTAGTAACCGCCTGAGAGGAGACACACGTGTTTAGGTGGAAATGCCACTGTTCCTCCCCCTGTACGCTTCTATCGACTGGGCTTTAATCCAAGTTAAATACTTGAATTCACTGAGGAGTCGAGGGGAGCCCTGCGGATAGGTAGTACCAAATTTTTTTGAGTTGCCGAACTACTAGTAGGTAACTTTCTTAGCTTTCCTTCCAGTTGAATGGATGTCACTGGGGCTGTTTCTCTCTGTGGAATCATTGTGGTGATTAATAGGTATGTTGTGTTCGTGTAATTTCACTTCTTGGGCCGCAGGGGCCCATAAGGTAACCAACCTAATGCTTTTTAAAGTTGAATATTTTCCAGCATTTGTGTGGGGTTATAAATGAAGTGCTGCCTCCCATGTATCATCCCAAGAGCTGCTTTCTTTCACTGTCCTCCCCTGACATAACAGTAACAGAAAGGGGATGGGCTTGTGCTGAAAGTATCGCTGGCAACGGGCTGGGTAATGAAAATCTTCCTGTCTCTAGAAGTGCCAGTAATTCTTGAGGAAGGAGGAGCTCGCTGTCATTTCCTAGCAGGGCTGTTCGTGCTTCGTAGGAACATGCACTTGCCACTTAAGAGCAGGGACTTGCCACCTGATCCATACCGTGGTGATGCCGTATCAGTCCACATGCAGTTAAGTTGTGTGCATGCGTGTGTGTATACATGAAAAAACGGCAATTATGGCTCAGGGCAGATAAGCGTTGATTGTGGCTATTTCCTTGAAACATGCACCAGGGTGACCCTACAGCTGTTGGGGTGGCAAAAGCCTGTCCACGAGACTGCCTGTGGTGTTAGACTTCTCAAATTCCCATTTCAGAGTAGCTGGGGAAAGTCAAGGAACTTGAAAATCAGCGTTTTATTTCTGTGCCTGATGCAAATATGTGTATTTGTCAAATAGGGTGATTATAGTCTCTTTGATTCATTTAGGCAGGATCTGAGCTTGGGGTGGGTTTGTTGGGGTGTTTGTTGTTGCTCCCAGTCTCACCATGCCACGGCAGGTCAGTTTTTGATCAGAATGCTGAGGAGGAGCAATGCTGCGTTTCTTCCTGCCAACCTCTTACCCTTCCAGAAGTAATCTCTGAAAATCTCAGCAAGGGGAAGGAAAGAAGGAAGTGTTATCGCAGAGTGAAGCTCTTGTGAGGCAATTAGGCAACTAGATTCTTCACAGAATGGCAGAACACCGAGTTCAGAAGAGTGACTGCCCTGGCCCCTCGGCAGGAGCAGGCGTGTTCCCTGGCTGTTGGTGCTGCTGTGATAATGAAACTCTTAAAGCAGCGGGGAGGCACTTCAGACTGAGAAACGTTCTGGGTAACAGGGTCTGCTCAAGGCAGCTCTAGTCCACGTGGGCTTAGAGACCATCAGGATCGCCTCTGGGGAGTGAGCTTTCCCGCAGGCTCTTCCCGTGCTGTGAGCCATCGTTCGTTGACTCCGGGCACAGGCGCCTCCGTACTGGCTTTGGCACGTGCTCGTGCGTGGCAGCGGGGCTGCTCAGGCCATCGGACACCCCGGTCACCGAGGCTGCGCTGGCAGAGGCGTGGCAGAGAGGTCTCCTCGACCCTGCCTCCACACTGTAGCAGCTCTCGGGCCGGGTTTGTCGTGGGCCCGTTCCCATCCCACATCTCCTCCGGCGCTTGTTTATTCCCTGCTCCTCGTCCTGGAATTGTTGTGAGGGTGCCAAGGCTCGTAGATCCATGACTCTGAGCAAGGCAGGGTTTAAAGGTCGTAGTCAAGACCATTAATAACAAGGTGCAAACGGCTGGTTTATATGTAACGTGAAGCTTTTTACTTATTTCATTTTTGCACTTTGGGGGCTCTGTTTGCTTATGGAGCACTTGGTGTCTGGTACCTATTTAGGCTGAGAGCAGGCAATTGGGTTCCTTCAGGCCTTCAGAGGAATGCAGAAAATTGTTCTCTGGTGTTGTAATTCTGCTGGGATAACTGGAGCTTATTTGTCTCACTGCTTATTAAATGCATACTTGTTTTTTTTTTTTTTTTTTTTTTCTGAGAAACATTGGGTGAATCCCAAGGACCACAAGTGAGAGGAAGATTCCAAGGGGAGGGGGAGAGTGAAGTGCCTGCACCTCTCTCCACGCTGCATCACCCGGCTCCGGTGCCAGCAGGCTGAAGAGGTTAAACTGGAGAGCAAACTGCCTTAGAGGAGAGGAGATGTACGTACGGGGCTGCAGACATAAATTAGTTTTGCCCTTCCCCCTGCCCAGAGGTGACAGGCTGAGGGGAGATGCAGCTCCTGCACTACCAGGACATGGGGGCTGCGGTTGGGAGCCGCCGGCGGCCGCGCTGGGCTTGCGGAATGGGGCCGGCTGTGGAGGGGGAGCGGGTGTGCGCCAGGGCTGGATCCTTCGCAGAGGGCAGTGTTGGTAGCGAGGGCAGAGCGTGGCCAGGGTTCGGACTCTCAGCAGTACTCGGCGTGCCCTGCTTGGCTGTTCCGAAGGACCGGACGGCTCCTGCCTCCCTCCTCTGCAGTTAGGGCTGCCTGGCTGCACAGGTGACGTGCAGGAGCTGTTCAGGTCTGCTTATGGGTCAGAACCCTCTAAACATCAGGTCACACTGACAGCAGCAATCAGGGGGCTTGTGTGCAGCCTTCTGTGGTCTGAATTCACCCAACTTTTAATACAGGTGGCTAGAGAGGAAAGGCAGCTCCGGTTTCCAGCTGTCTCCTGGCTCCCTCCTCCCTTTCCTGAGCCTCCTAAGCAGGGTGTGCTCTGCCTGCCCCAGCCCTCAGGCTGTAAGAAGATGATGGCGATCGGGGATGCTGCTCATCTACTTGGAATTTTCCTCACTGCCAGCTCCGATTGTTGTACTGGGATTTTTGGTAGGCCTTTCGGTGAGCCTGGTCACTGGGAAAGGCTGGGTAACACACCCACGCTTAGCGCACCAGTAAGGGTGCACCCGCGGAGATGAGTGTGTTTCTCCATTGGGGATCTTCTTGCTTTGGTTATTTCTGCCCAGGACATTTTCCTTTTACTCTGGATGCGTTGAATTGTGCAATCATACCGTGGCCTCATCAGCTCGGGCCCTTCTCTTAAGAACCTCTTGATTTCTCCTTTGGCTGTAGGCTATTGTCAGTTGTACAGCAGTGTGACACAGTGTGTGACTATTGCATTCTCCTGCATTGACTCACCAGCTGAGATTCCAGAGCCGTAACCCCCTGCTGCGGCGCTGGAGCAGTCCTCCCTGCCTGGCCTGCAGCAATAAGGGACGCGAAAGCTCCCGCACCGCCGCGGCAGGTTACGCAGATGACAGAATGCCCCAATAAACCCGTCCCCGAGAGCTGGGCCTGGTCCAGCAGGTGACCCCCGGGCCCACGGCAGCAACGGGGAGGGTTTAGGCCCGGGGTGTAGCTGAGCAGAGTATTCACTCTGTGTTGCCAGGGCTCAAAAACTTTTCTCAGTCTTTTCGCTGCATCCATGCAGGAGAATGGTGGTGCCACCTGGGCTAAGGCTGCGCTCACTTGCACGTAGTTTAATAGAGGAAATACCCTGAACTGATGTGGGCCCTGTGTTTCCAGTGCCTCCCTCCTCCTCCTGTGTGTCCTGCCCAGCTTCTTCAGAAAAGGTAATTAATTCAGAAGCTCACTGAGCGATTAACTGTGCTCCTTGTCCTTGAGCTCAGACATGCGTTTGACTGGAGGATAATTAGATGATCTTGCTTGAAAGGCTCCCCTGCATGTTTTGGGCAGTATTACTTAAGAGGGGCTTGTGAGAGGAACTGAGTGTTCCCTGATGAGACTGCAGCCTTCAGAAAGGTTTATAGATGGAAAACATCTGCTTGCTGAGGATGAGTGTGCTGAAGGGGAGCTTCGGTAGGGCTCATCTGCGGGGAGGGACCAGCCTGACCTTCCCCCCGCCCGCAGTGGGGCATCTTCTTGCACAAACGTTGGCTGTTAGCTCCAGCTCACCAGCCTATTCCTGACTCCCAGGCATTGGGCTTTTGCTAATTGCTTGGTCGTAAACAAGAAGCAAGCGTAGCCTTGCGCAGCCCTTCGCAGAAGAAACCGCTCACCTCTTCTGTGGGGCAGACTCGAGCCCCTCGGGCTGTCTCCACCACTGCTCCTCTAATGCTGGTACCGGCTTCCAGGGGTTTTTCTCCTCTGATTTCCTGCCGGGCGGTGTCAGGGGAAGGGCTGGGCAGGGAGCCCCGCCGTGAGGGGACGTGGCAGGGCTGTCTGAAGCTGCCTCCTCTGCTCTGGTTATTCCACAAAGCGCTGAAGGCATCGAGCTTCAGCGTCTCAGTGCTGATACAGGAAGGGGGCAGCCAGTAAACCCAAGACAACGTGTCCTCGGGAGTTTTCTCCTTCGGTTTAAGATGTTGAACGTTGGCATTCAAGGGGAAGGCCTGTTTGGCAGCAGCCACTGATTGAGGTGTCATTCGTTGGGTGGGCCCACAGATCTGCTGGGGAGCAGTGTGTCTGCTGGAAGACACCTCCTGGGGCCCGGTGGAGAGGAAGAAATGTTTATTGGCGCTCACCCCGGGTCCCCAGGCACTGGGTCCCTCCCAGCCCAGGGAGCGTGTCCTGCTCTGGGAGGGAGCCTTGGATTGATTGCCCAGGGGGCAGCATTTTTTTAAAGTCTGTCGTAAATTGATGGTAGGTGGAGCGGTAATGAAGATAAATGAGGGAGCTCTTCCCGGTAGATCAGCCTCTGTGCTGACGGATGCTGAGCTACAGGCGGGCTTGAAATGCCTTTGGCCTGGCTCAGGCCTCCCGCTCACCTGCCAGCATTCCTCAGCACAGCCCAGACGGAGCAAATCGGCAGGGAAATTGCCTCCCCTTGAAATTCAGAGGGCTCTGAAGGGGCTGGGCTGAGAGCCAGCAGCCTCCCAGGTAACCACCAGCTTGAGCACAAGTTCTGCTCTTGCAGAGAGGGTGAAAGGTGCTGCTTGGCACGATGCGAAAGGGAGATGGGCTTAATCCTCTAAGAAATGGGTTAGGCAGCGGGGAGGTGGGATTCCTGTGGCGGTTTAAGAGCTCTGTTGAAACGTCACCTTTTTGCTAGTCCCGGGCTCTGCAGCAGCTCTGCTGAGGGGCCTTTTTCTGCGTGAGCAATCTCGGGGGTCTGGCAGGGAGTAAGGTGCTCTGATCTGGCCCATGGCAGACTCTTTAAATTCTTTGAGCGGTTCCCATCAAAGCAGTTTTCAAAGTGACTTTCTCTCACCACTTTAGCTAGCGTTTCCTAGGGCCGTTGGGTAAAATCCCTGTTCAGAGATCTCCATGCAGTAGCTGATGGGTGGCTTAGGACCAGAATAATCTTCTTTGCCTTAATCCCATCCTGCCACTTTGACCTTCCTCAGCCATCGCCGCTGCAGCCCGCTCAGCTCCCTCTGCCCACACACCTCGCTGCTGCCCGGGAGGACCCCGACTCCCCGGGGAGCTCTGACAGCCCCTGCAGCACCAACAACCCCGGGCAGCAGCATTTACGGGTGAACGTTAGTGCTGAGTCGTCCTGTTGCTGTTGTAAGCTTATAACTGCCATGAAAACTTGCTTTGAGTATGTGAAACGTCCTTCCCTGCCCATCAGCCTGATGATTGTCAACATCAGGAAAACTGCCAACGTTTTTCCTGGGGTGGGGAGGAGGCACAGCCTGCCCGGGGCAGCCAAGCACGGGGAGGGCAGCGTCGAGGCACCCGGTCAGCTGCAGCATCGGGTCAGGATCGCAGTGATTGAAGTGACTGGGTTTTTACCTGGGTCAGTCTAGACTGCAGCTTCAACTTCTGTCTTGTACATTAAGTCTGTTTGTGTGGATTGGTATCTTTTGACCAGACTCTTTAAAATACCTGTACACCAAATAAATTGTCTGTGTAATCACTGCTTGCCCACCTTGGGGGGAAAAAAGATTGAAATTTCTGGAGAGAAGAGGGGTTGATCTCTGACATATCTACTGGCAACTCTGCAGCTGCCTGCCCCTCCTCTCATCACCTTCGATTTTAGTTGATAGATTAAGTTTTGGGGTTTTGGTTTAGTTTCTGTTGTTGCTTTGTGGGTTGGGGTTTGGTTTTTTTTTATGGGAAAGGTTTGGAAGCTGATCTAGGATCTCCTGCTCAACCCAGTGCCATGTCATCAGCTGTCCTGGAGGGTGCTGCTGCTTAGGGAGGGTTCCCTGGGGGCTTTTGTGCCCAGATGCTGCGACTCTGCTTTGTGGGAAACAGCTGAGAACTCCCGGGGCGGGGAGGTCTGTGCTTTAGGGCCACGGGACCTGCAGCCAGGCAGGTACAAGAAATGCTGCAGCCCGATTCCAGGGGGACTGCCCAGTGGGGGGTGTAGGAATTCAAAAAGCAAAGAACGTCATTTTCCGATATAAGTTTATAATGAATTTTGACTTAAAATAATAAGCAGTATACACAACATACAAGTGAGTTTTACAGAGACACTGTTGTATCTGTTGGCTTCAGAACCTACCATAAGTTCACAGAGTGTGTTTGCTTTCTCTAGCGCTCCGTGTCCGCCAGCATCTAGGGGCGGCCCTTGTCTCTGCGCAGTCCCTCGGGTCTCAGTTCCCATCTGCAGCTCCGTTCGTCGCCTTCGCGGGGCCGACGGGGAGAAGCCTCGTGTAGAGGTTGCTCTCGCTCAGCGGGGTCAGCAGTGCAGGTCTGCTCGAGGGAAAGGCGGGATCGCGGAACTGTCTCACGGATTCGCAACACCCTTCCTCTGGCCTTGCAAAAAAGTAAAAGCAAGAATGCTTTCCGCAAGAGTGGATTATTCTGAACTAGTGTTTTTCGCTGGTGAAGCTTTACTGCAACATAAATTCTCCGGGGAGGTGCAGCTCTCCTCAGCCCTCGCATCCCGACGGCCGGTCCTCCACGTCCCTGGCGGTTGCACCGTCCCTTTGCAAAGAGACCAACGGGCAGCGGCAGTTTCACAGTTTAAGCAAGGATCGCAGACTCCTCCTAGGTAAGGGATTAGATTTGCTGAGCAAATAGAGGGGTCCACAGTACCTCCTGGGAAGTGTAGTCCTTTCTTGAGTGCTTTGCAGAATTAATTAAATAAAAGCCATGCAGTTGAACTACAGCTCCCAGAACGTCGTGGCCCTCGGGGCACAGGGTTTTAAAAAACTGCGAGGAGGGGTGGCAGCGGGTTCTGCCCTCGGCGCTCCCCTCTCCTCAGGTCTGGTCCAACCACTCGGCCCGTTTGGGTGCTTTACAGGTATGCACGTCCACAGCGTCCTCGCACTCCTTGCAGCGCACAGCGCAGCACCAGTGGAACTTGCACTCGCACTTGGTGACGCGCGTGACACGCGTGGTGTCGTACCCCCGCCCGCAGCACATCACCTCGCAGCCGTCCGTCCCCCGAGACATCTTGTTGCAGACGCGCCCGGCCGTGCCCAGGGAGCCTGGGGAAGGAAGCGAGAGCGGGTCAGGCTCTTCCTTCTCTGTCCTGTTTGAAGGCTTCCTCTGCCCCCCGCCCCGCGGGTGGGAGTGGGGGCAGCTACCGCCTGCAGTGGAGCCCCCGCCAGCGCTGCCTCGGGGGCCTTGAAGGGTTTAGGTTTAGTGGGGCCGGGGTGCAGCTTTGGTGACCCTCTGCATGGCCCCTTCCTCGCCCCTCTGTGCCGGGGGGGCTGGAGCAGCCTACGCCCGCTGAGCTGGGCTTTGCAGCTGGCAAAGCTGGAAGTGGCCCCTCTGCTCCGAGGGGTGGCAGGAACACGCGCTGCTGCCCCCGCCGAGCCCCCACACCTACTGCCAACCCCGACCTGGGGCTGCTCCAGGCTGGGGAGCCGCTGCAGGGCTCGAGCAGCCCAGCCACTGCCTTCCCTCCTCTCAGCCCGGCCCTGGGCTCTGCTCAGGGAAGCTGGCACCTGTGGCACGAGCTGGGGCTCTTACTGCCCACGGGTGGAGCTTTACTCTGAGGAAACGCTGCGCTACGTTCGCTGCAAGAGGCCTCGTGGGTTTGGATCTTTGGTGTAAAGCCTGGGGATTTTGGACAAACCCAGTGCTCTGTGTGCAGGCGTGAGGTGCTGGGGGGAGCACTGATACCCGCTGAGGGTCTGGGTGACCCCCCCCAGCACAAACCCCCACCAGGGACCAGGGTTTGGTGTGGGACCTGACGTCCTGAGGTGGCTGGGCGAACTGGGAGCTGCTGGTCTATCAGGAGGGGAGGAAGAGCTGGTTTTGGGCAGCGACTGGAGCTTTGGTTTTACCTGCTGACTTGTCCATCACGCAGTAATCAGGCGAGTTCTCAAAATACACCAGATCTGTTTTTGTGGGCTTTCTGAAGTTCTTGTTGGCCACCGTGAAGCCAGTGCCGTCCTGGTTCATCGTCACCTGGATGGCCCCGTTGTATTTCTTCCTTAGGTAATCCCCCGTTTTTCTAAAATCTGACATTGCCAGCCAACAAGTCCTTAGTGTGCAGGAGCCGCTGACCCCATGGCACTTGCACTCCAGCTTCAGGAAACGCTTCACAGCCTGTGGGAGGAGGGAGGGGGTGAGGACCAGTGGTTGGTGGCACCTGCGCCTGCCTCTGCTCGTCCCTGGTCCCCCCCAGCCCTTGCCTGCGCCCACGGGGCTCCCGCCGGGAGAGGTGCTGCCTACGGAGGACGCATTCCCACCGACGCCAGCGGGGACACGTGCTGGGGGCAGCTGGGGGCTCCCCGGGCAGAGCGTGCGGGGGCACTGGACAGGACCTGCCCTCCCCGGGCACCCGGGTCCCGCTCCGCTGCCCTGGGGAGGTCGCGGGGACTGCACTCACCATCCTCCCGCAGCGGTTGTTGTGCAGGTTCATCAGCGCCCGGGCGTCCTTCACTTTCTTCTCCTTGGCGTCCACGAAGGCTTTGGCGAAGCGGATCCCGTAGTTGATGTTGTCGCTGCAGCCGCCCCAGTCAAACTCCCCGCGCTCGTCCTTGGAGCGGCCCCTCTTGAGGGGGTCACAGCCGCAGGCCTTCAGGTCCCCCTGGCTGCAGGCCCGCGTGATGGCGTAGACCACGCCGGCCGAGGAGATGGCGTAGACGAAGGCGGCCTCCCTGCTGCCTGCCGCGGGAAGAGAAACGGGGTGTCAGCAGGATGGGACAGGCTGGGCGCCCGCAGGGCCCCTGTGCCACAGGTCAGCCAGGGAGAGGGGTGGGCACCTCCCAGAGCAGCCCAGCACCCCGAGCGCTGAGCCCTGAGGCTCAGTGTGGAACTCCCCTGAGTCTGAAAGGTGCCCGGGAAGCCGAGGCTGGACCCGGTGGCCAGCAGAGATGGCTGGGCTTGGCCCCCCGCTGCGAAGGTGCCCCCGCACGGTGCCCTGCGGGCGCCCAGCCTGTCCCATCCTGCTGACACCCCGTTTCTCTTCCCGCGGCAGGCAGCAGGGAGGCCGCCTTCGTCTACGCCATCTCCTCGGCCGGCGTGGTCTACGCCATCACGCGGGCCTGCAGCCAGGGGGACCTGAAGGCCTGCGGCTGTGACCCCCTCAAGAGGGGCCGCTCCAAGGACGAGCGCGGGGAGTTTGACTGGGGCGGCTGCAGCGACAACATCAACTACGGGATCCGCTTCGCCAAAGCCTTCGTGGACGCCAAGGAGAAGAAAGTGAAGGACGCCCGGGCGCTGATGAACCTGCACAACAACCGCTG